TCCCAGCTACGGAGGCTGAGGCAGTAGGATCGCTTGAGCCCAGGAGTTTGAGGTTGCTGTGAGTTAGGCTGATACCATGGCACTCACTCTAGCCTGGGCAACAAAGCGAGACTCTGTCTCAAAAACATAAAAAAAAAAAAAGTAAAAAAAATAAATGGGCAAAAGATCTGAATAGACATTTCTCAAAAGAAGATATACAATTGCCCAACAGGTATATTAAAAAATACTCAACATCATTAGTCATCAGAGAAATGCAAATCAAAACTACAATGAGATATCATCTCACCCGAGTTAAAATGGCTTTTATCAAAAAGACAGGTAGTAACGAATGCTGGTGAGGATGTGGAGAAAGGAGAACTGTTATACACTGTTAGTGGGAATGTAAATTAGTGCAACCACTATGGAGAACAGTATGGAGATTCTTCAAAAAACTAAAAATAGAATTACTATATGACCCAGCAATCCCACTGCTAGGTATATATACAAAAGAAAGGAAATCAGTATATTGAAAAGATAATATCTGCACGCCCATGTTTATTATAGCACTATTCACAACAGATAAGATTTGGAATCAACCTAAATATACACCAACAGATGAATGGATAAAGAAACTGTGGTACATATACACAATGAAATATTATATAGCCATTAAAAAGGATGAAATCCTGCCCTTTGCAACAGCATAGATAGAACTGGAGAACATTATGTTAAATGAAATAAGCCAAACACAGAAAGACAAATCTTACATGTTCTCTCTCACATGTGGGAGCTAAACATTAAAACAATTGATCTCATGGAGACAGAGTAGAATAGTTGTTACCAGTGGCTAGGAAGGATAGTGGGGAGTGAGGGATAAAGTGGGTAAGTTAATAGGTGCACAAATGGAGTTAGATAGAATGAACAATATTTGATAGCACAATAAAGTGACTATAATCAACAATAAGTTAGGGTATACTTTAAAATAACTAAGACAGTGGAATTAGAATGTTCCTAACACAAAAAAATGATAAAAAAAAAATTGAGGTGAGATACCTCAATTAGCCTGATATGATTAATACACATTGTACGTCTATATCAAAACATCACAGGTACCCTATAAATATAATTATTATGTATTTGTAATAACTAAAAACTTAAAATTAGAAAAAAAACAATAATTAAGAAACAATCCTTTCCATCAGTGACTATAAACTCTGGTGTAGAAGATAGTACACAGCTGATCACAAATCAATACGAGAGAGGGAATGAAAGGTCTATTTCTTATTACCAAACCAGTTAATAACTATGAGAAGGTATACTACAGAAAGGCTAATTAAATTTAAGAAATAATTTTTGTGAGGTCATTTTATGAAGGAGACTATGCCAGAAAAAAGTAGGAGTGATTGTTAGTGTTACCTTGATTTTCATTGATGAGTTTTAAATTCAATTAGTAATAATAACAGTATCATTAAAAGTTTAAAACTTTTATTAAATATTCACTATGTGCCAACATGATTCTAAGAAGTACTTTAGATGTTTTAACTCATTTAACACTCACAATAAATTTTGAGGTCAGTACTACTATTACCCCACATTTGGTGGCCAAAAAGAAAATATGGAGGCAAAGAGTAATTAAGAAACCTGTCCTATACTGCACATCTGGTAAGTACTAGAGCAAGGTTTGAAATGCTAGCAGTCTAGGTCAGTGTTTGCAACCAGTGTGCTACCTTGTTTGATCAGAGTCCTTCTTCAGACAGGCTCGCCTGTTACCAAAATAGCTGCTATGCCCTCACTATCCACCGCCCTCATTATGGCAGAACCCAATTTGCTTTATATCCAAAGCAGCATTTATCTTCCGTGAGGCTCAAGAGCTCAGTGATTCATTCATTGCCAATTGAGACAGAGGATGTAGAAGGCCTACCTGATGAATAAGACCCTTAAACTTGTTATGAGAGGAAGGAGAGGGGATGATGAGGGTAGGAGAAAGGAGTGGACATGTAGGAGAAGAACCATTACTGATAAGTCTATTCAGGATTAGCTCAGAAAAGGAACCAGGAAGAAAAATTAACCTCAACTGAAGAAAATGTAAGACCAAGCAGTAATAAAGCCCACAAGTAAGAGAATGACAGGGCTAGACACAAAACCAAGTTGATCTCAACAAAAGAAACCCATTTTACTAAATTTTATTTCTTCTGAGGGGCCCCCAGCCTCTCACTAACCCTTGTTAACTTCTTAGAACAGGAGTGGGAGATGGGAGGATTATGGGTCATTTGGGGACACTTTAAATTTGAGGTGCCTCTGGAACAGTCCAACAGAGATGTTCACCAGGCAGTCAGCTATACGAGTCTACAGGAAGAGGTCTGGCCTGACCCCAAATCTCCTGGGACTTCATCTCCGGCTCGAGCCAAGATACCACGATGTTTCCCTCTGCTTTTGGCACATTCCTCAGAAGAAACAATGAGGCTTTCTTCAGCTTGGATTGCTAATTTCAAAGGTTTTAAAGTAAACTATACTCAAAGATCTTGGCTGATATTGACTAGTCTGCACCTGGATGTTGGCATACCTCTTCTCAAATGCTTGTGAGAATTACAGTCATCAGCGTAAGTGATCAGCCATGCATCTGGAACTCTTCTCTACTCCCAGCCTGAGAATGGATGGCCACTGTTTGCCTTTGCCCTTCACCTTGTGAGCAATAACACACAATTTATCTTTCCTGTTCTCGAGAGCATGCCAGAAAGAAAAGCTTGGCATGCCATTTACCCAAGTTTGCTAACTCCTGCTAGGATATGTATCTCATGGGTGATCAAAAGGTAGCCAGGATAAATTATATCAATACCTTCAAATGCCATTTGTTACAGCTTACTTTTCAAAATACTACTCAGTTCTTATATTTCAACATAATTTAATATTGAACATTTTTTAAACATTGAGAATTAAAAAATAATAATCTGGTCTGTCAAACACTCAAGGGAGAAGTTCAGGGCTTTAGAGAACCTAAGGAAGGTCTGGTTCTTGGTGTTTATAATCAAAATAAGATAGTAAAAATAAAATTGGAAATATGACAGCCTCTTAAATTGGGCTATAGCAGGAATTTAGGTGGATTAGTGATAAAAATCTATATGAATTCTAAGATACCAAAGAACTACTGAGGTTATTTGCTACTCAAAAAGTGCACCTGTTTGTACATGAGCTCAAGGCAAACCTATCATTCCACCAGGCCTGGGATCACAGCAACTTGTTTGTCCCTTAACATCTAATCAGTCATCAAGTCCTATGCTTTATAATGTATTTTTCTTTTTACTCCCATGGTAACCACTCTTGGCTAGATGTTACAGAAGATTGGTGAGAGCCTAGGAGAGAAGATAAGGAATTATAAGTCATGAATTTGAGTAGTGAAAAAAATGGATTTTGAAAGCATGGATTTAAATGGAATGTGAAAATAATGTGGCCCCTCATAGGCAGGAACACTGCATTTCCTTAAGAGACATACTAAACTATATCCTTGCCTCAGGTTATACTTATATAAACTAAATTCTGTAATTAAAATGATAATGTATCAATGGCATGCCAAGCAATAATAGAGTCTGCAGTAATACTAAAACAGCAGTAGAATACAAAAAATGGTCTCCCAGTTAACTGAGTAGAAGCTATCTAAATTAAGAGTTGAGAAGGGTGATTGAAGAATCATCAGTATAATGATAACAACTGATAGCCTGTATACATGAGGTTATCTTGAAGGAAAATGCTGGGCAAAGTGAAGAGATGGTTTGTTATGTCTCACAGAGGAGCAAGTTCACGTGTGAGTACATGAGTGTGTACTCACATGCACATGTATATGTGTAAAGTCTGAGGAAAAAAGAAATTCAAGACCCTCACCATGAGGGCGTAACTACCATCTCCAACCATGCCATCCCACTACTTGCCATGGGATTCTTTGCTCTGCTCACAAGGGTCTGCTAGTTCTGCTCTGTACTCCCACCTCCTCGCCCTTGTTCACACCATAATCCTGACCAAGTGTCCTCTTTCTGCATCTTAGTGTCCTTCCAGGTCCAGCTCAAGTTCCATGTCCCCTTGCAAGCCCTTCCAGACAAGCCCAGCCCACAGTGTCTTCTCCTCCCTCTGTCCTCTTATAGTCGCTGCCACTCACTAGTGTACAGAGGAAAACAAAAGTTCCCTCACAAACATCTCAATCGACCACCTACTGTCTCTCATTCCTGGGTGCCTTCTTGAGTCTTTCTTAGGGTCAGATGCTCTCAGTAAATGAGAAGTTGTTGAAGGGAGGGATTGTGTCTTCACACGTCTTTAAACCCTTCATAGCACAAGGCCAAGCCCTACATGTGTCCCAATAAACATCTGCTGATGTGAATAAGCAGTGTCATACGATGAATGTTCAAAGGAAAATACTACATGAAATAATGAGAATATTCTGGCCGGGCATGGTGGTTCACTCCTGTAATCCCAGCACTTTGGGAGGCTGAGGCAGAAGGAGTTTGAGACCTGCCCGGGCAACATAGCAGGACCCCATCTGTACAACAAAATTAAAATATTAGCCTGGTGTAGTGACATGTGCCTGTGGTCCTAGCTACTTGCGAGGCTTAGGGATGAGGCAGGAGGATCCCTTGAACCCAGGAGTTCAAGGTTACAGTGAGCCATGACTGTGCCAGCGCGCTCCAGCCTGGGTGATGGAGCAAGACCCTATCTCTTAAAGAAAAAAAAGAGTATGAGAATGTTCTGATTCTAACATATAAGAATTGTCTTTTCACTCAATACCTCTTAAGAAGATAATAAGACTGCTGACTTGAGGTGAGGTAAAGCTCGAAAGTAAATGGAAGAGGGAGCTTAAGTACGCAAAGCCAGACTGGAGAGTAAGATTCTCACAAGGTAGGTGCAAGACATACGTAGGAAAAATCAACAATTGTTTGATAGAAGTCAGATGTAAAGATACAACATTGTATCCAAACCATAGCACCAAAAAAAGTAAAAAAAGAAAATAAATAAATTTTGAAAATGTAAAAACATACCAGTATTTCCTTGAGCATCTTCCACCTTATTTGGTGAGGGCAACAGAAAAGATGGCCTGGTGAAGTGAGGGCCTTGAAGAGACGGCTGCTGCTGGGGCTGCAGTGGCGTGGTCGTGAGGACTGTCCTCCAGTCCACGTGGGTGATGTCTGATCTCGACCGAGCGTGCCCTGGCTTGAAAGTAGAGGAGGTCTCATCCAGTAAGTCATTCACAGAACGAGGTCTGTCCCTCCGACGCTGACAGATATTGAAAAAATTAAAGGTTGATGCTTCCTTTTGTTCCATCCAGGAGAGGTTATCTGGGGTTGTTCCTCTCTGGACCGTAAACTGTTCTTTGGCAGGGAAGACATTTTGAGCTTTGGTTTCTAAGAGCCTGCTCTTACAGTGGTCCCAAATCATGCCCCCCTTGCCCAGCGAGGGAACGTTTCTCATAGCACCATTGCCTGTTAGGTTGCTGAGTACCTCGTGCCCCACCAGTTCAGGGACTTCCTGGATCCCATAAACCTCTGCGTGCTGCACAGCCTTTTCTAGCTTACTGTCCAAAGTACTAAAGAAATCCTCAGTAACTTCTAAGGCCGGACTGATATCATCCACTTCCAAAGCTTCCATGTCACAGGCTCCAAGAGGCCTACACCTTCTAAGCTAGTTCAAGAAAGGGCTTCATGAACATTCACCCAACAAAGAGAGGTGCTTCGGCAATAGAGCTATGCAAAAAACTGGAAGAAACCTTCATTCGGCTGCCTGGAGCAGGCCAAGCACATGCAGGTGGCTGATGCTTTCCCGGTCATTAAAAACATTTGCTAGCTGCAAATGGACACTAACAGAGGTATGGGGAGACAAATGTTCCTTTGAGATTATTTTTCAGTGAGATCTCCGTGAAGACAACAGGAAGTGCTTGATTTCCTGGAAGAAAATAAACAGAATAACTTTAGCACATGGTTCTTTGTATTCTGTAGTACACAAATCTGCCCAATTAATTTTCCATTTTTACACCTCTTCTATGGCAGTCATGTACAAAGGTGAACAACACCTACACAGAAGTTCCATTGTCAGGAGTACACATCACTACCTGCTTTGTACAAGAACTTACCCAGAGCAGGGTGGAGCACTTGATAAGAGGAATTAAGGTCAATAGCTTTTACTCACACAGAGAATCCTTTGAGAGCAGTTGTGAAAAGATTGCCCTGGCAAATCTCTGATATGGTGACCTAAAATAGTAAGCAAAAGAGACTAGGAATTCTGTGACTATATTGTAATCAGTCTGAAAGTCATAAATGCTTGAGTCCTTTAACAGACCTTGAAAGCACTGATGATTTTTGGGGCTTAAAGGAACAAGAGGGAAGCAGAGAAGGAGGTTCTGCTCTTTCATTAAACCCAAATGTTACTGCGTTAGATTATACAATGCCTAAGGGTGGCTCTGGATTTCAGAATTCTTGGAAGAAGGTTTCAGGCTCCAAACTCCTTGAGACTTGCAGGATTGGCCTCAGAGTACAGGTCTAGCCGGCTGGGCGTCTAAGAGCCTAAGGTGAAGTTATGGCTTGAGTGGCAGGTTGAGTTCATCCTTTTCTGTCCCCAGACCTCAAGTCCCAAACCTTACATACAGCTCTGGCTGGGCAGAGAAAATCCTGCTTGAGCACTAACCCACATTCTCTAAGGTCAGGTCAAATTAGAGCAGACCTCGGCAGTGATGCTGCCCGATACGGTAGACACTTGCCATATATGGCTATTTAAATTTAAATTTAGTAAAATCGACGTTCCTCAGTCACACTAATCACATTTCCAGTGCCCAGCAGTCACATATACATTTGTATCTTTAACAAAAAACAAACAAAACGCCCAGACAAGGGCTTTTTTCTTCTTTAACTCCTTGTAAGTAATACTAGGCAATTAGCAACATCATTATAGGTTACCTCAAGGGTAGACAGACGTGCTTTCTTTTTAAAATAAAAAAAAAAACTTCACAATTTTTATGGTTAATTAAATTCATTTTTAGTACTTCGGTCATTAAACAATTACATTTAAATGAACAGCACAAGGCTGGGCATGGTGGCTCATGCCTGTAATCCTAGCACTTGGGGAGGCCAAGGTGAGAAGATTGCTTAAGGCCAGGAGTTCAAGACCAGCCTGGTGAGACTCTCATCGGTCCAAAAAATAGAAAAATTAGCTGGGCATGGTGGCACGTGCCTGTAGTCCCAGCTACTCTGGAGGCTGAGGCAGGAGATCACTTGAGCCCAGGAATTTGAGGTTGCTATGATCATGCCACTGCATTCCAGCTTGGGCAACAGAGTGAGACCCTGTCTCCAAAAAAAAAAAAAAAACAGTTTCAATGTACATTGCTTAATGTATGTAAATTAAACTAGTATATACACACCTTTATTTTAGATGTATCAAGGAGATTTGCAGTTCACAGAAACTGTAGAACCTCTGGTAAAGTGATAATTACTATGAATTTGTCTATCTTTATATATTTTGATATTAATATTTATTATGTTAGTACTTCATAAAGTAAAGCACAGATTTATCTTTAAAGATAAACATCAGTTGAACATTTTTCTAGTTGCCAACAGGGTATTTTTTTCAGGCTCTAAAGTTAAGCCTTCAGTCTGGCGAATTTTGCAAATTTTCAAAATTACTTTTGTAATTTTGAAACTTGGGTTTTTTTCAATTTCATCTTGTACACCAGAGACTGAAAAAAATTAATAAATCATAAAAGCTTTAGTTTTTTCTTTACTAAAATTTCAAATGTACATAAAATACAAGTTTCCTATTTTATAAAAGAGGTACCAAGATATAGAACATTAAGTTATTCGTGTAAGATTAGAGATATCTCTTTTCTTACCCAGTGTTTCAAATTCAGTCTTTAATCATGCTAGAGAGAGAATAAATACCTCTAAAATTATTATTTCTTTTTTTTCATTTGTTAAAATATCAAAAAATATTCTTTTTGTGCTCTCAGCTTGGGTATTTGCAGGCTGGTTAGAAGCATGTAACCACTGCTGACTTGTGTAATTCTATACCACATAGTCTAAAACCATAGACTATTAGACAAGGAAGCAGCCTTTGAAATCATCCTTTCAACCCCAACCTTTCACAGAAGACACTGTAGCCCAGAGAGATTAACAGGTCCCGTGAACACTTCATGCTATTCTCAAACATGTAGACAAGTTCCCACCTTAGAGTCTTTCCATTGGCTGTCCCCCCAGACACCAACATGGCCAAATCTCAAAGTAATTGTTCATATCTCCTTCTCAATGAGGCCTACACTGATTGGCTCTTTAAAATCGTAACACACATCTCTGACCCAAACTCCTGATCTTCCTTACTCTGCTTTTTTTTTAAATAAACTTTTCATTTTAGAACAGTTTTATAACTATAGAATTATTACAAAGATAAGGAGAGTTCCTGTATACCCCACACCCAGTTTTCTCTAGGTAACATCTTACATTAGGATGATACATTTGTCATAATTAGTGACCTAATATTGATACGTTATTATTAACTAGAGCCCATACTTTATTCATCTTTCCTCACCTTTTCCCTAAGGTTCTTTATCTGTTCCAGAATCCTATACAAGGTACCACATGACATTTACTTGTCATGTCTCTTTTCTTTTTTTACTCACCACTATACTAACAAGGATGTCATGTCTCTTTAGCTTCTTCTCAGCTGTGACAGTTTCTCAGACTTTACTTGTTTTTGATGACCTTGACAGTTTTGAAGAATATTGGTCAGGTATTTGATAGAATGTCCCTCATTTGGCATTTTTCTGATGTTTTCCTCATGATTATACCAGTGCTGTATGTATTCAGGAAGAAGATCACAGGGATGAAGTGCCATTCTCATCATATCATATCAAGGTTCATGTTAACCTGGGTCTCCTGGCTTGAAATACCCTTTTTCCTTAAGCATTTACCTTTTCTAACATATCACTTAATTGACTTATTTAACCTTCAGTGTTTCTCTCCCTCTGCTAAAATATAAGCTCTATGAGTCCAGGAATTTGTGCTCATCGTGTTATCTAATGTATCCCAAATACATGGAATAGTGCCTGGTACACACACACACACACACACACACACACACACAGGCACTAAACAGATACACGTTGAATGAATACATTGTTATTTCTCTGCATGACATTCATGGCCCTTCCTGACCTATCCACCTCCCCAATTTATAGATCTTGACCAATACCCACCTTGCTGTTTGTCCATGCTTTTGTCCAAGTTGCGGAGCCTTTCCTAAGTGTTCAGGCTCTCACAACACCTTGGGTTTGCCCCCTTGTGCTGAAATGATTCGCCAATCTCTTAGAGCCCACTCTAAACTCTGAGCTACTTGACAGCAGGCACAGTGCCTTCCTTCCTTACCCTCCTATATGATCTCTTTGTCTTCATCCTTCCAGGCTCTGTTTTCCAACCTTACTCTTTTCAGGAATTTCACCTTTTCCCTGGGCTCTATAGCCCTCAATACACTATAGTAAATGGGTCTGATGTCAAATTTGGTTTTTATAATTGAGTGCCTCTTCTAGCCTGCCTCGTTTGGTTTTGAAACTAACTAATTAAAAATTAGTTAACATATTTAGACAGGACAAGATATGAAAGGGACCTTCCTCTGACAAACTAAACTGAGTAAAATCAGTGTGTGGGCGCAGTGTGGTTTGTCTCGGCACAAAACTGGAAATCAGGAGCAAATTAGAACTGTGTTCTACAGCTGGCTTAACCACACACTTACTGGGTGGCATTTGGCAAACCATTTAAACTCTGGATGGATGCCTTACTCAGCTACCTGTATCCAATAAAAGTTGCTAATATCAAATTATTTTGCATGTGGATCATTCACTAGGTGGCTATTCCAACAGGTCTTTAAAAATGTCTACTGCTATATATAATTATGGAGCACTCCACTGGACCTCACCCATTCAACCACCATGTGCTCCTGGTCTCTCTCTGGAATCCAACAAAAGCCAAGTCAGCAACCAACTATTTATAATACACTACTTTTCAGCTAAACTCAGTGACCTACTGACATTTTATCTTATATTTATATAGAATGCCCTTACTGTAAAAAGGGGTATTTTCCCTATTTAAAAGATTGAGAAAATTGAAGTCTATCTGCCAGTGTGGTAATAAAAGAGCTTAACACAAAGAATGTCATGCATGCATCAAAATGTAACAGGATGGAGAATCAGTGCATTGCTATTTCCTAACAAGGAAATCTGCCATTTACATGCTCATTAAGCAAGGCTAATTAACAGGATGAATACGCAGTCCTCCCATACAGAAGCAGAAGCAGATATGAGTAATAACTCTAGCCTGACCCACACATAGATGCCATGTTCTCCAGAGCTGGATGATAAAAGTGCTGACTTCCTCCCTCTCTTGACTAAATGACTTGTAATCGGAATTTAATGAGTGCTGAAGGTGTCTGGAGTCATGCAGTTTCAGAAGCAGCTGGACTAGCAAGAAAAATGCAATGCAAGACACCTAGGATACTCACAAGGATGGTCAGCGCTCATGGCTCTCACATAGACTTCACTTTGGTTAAGGTTGGGACTGACTGAGAATTTTCTAAGAGTTACATAATGTGAAAGATCCACCACAAGTGGATCTAACCCTAGTAAAACGATCTTTCTGGCCCAGGAGACTACGTGATTTTTATGGTGCTTTGTCATAAAGACAATGTAAGTATGTCAGTGGAGCACAGGCATGCCATAAGCAGCAGATATGGAAATGGTGCCAGTGAAGACCTCATAAAAAGAGTTCAGGGGACTTTCAGATGAAATGGACAGCTAGAAACACAGACGGAATCTCATGTTCAGAGGCTTGAAAGGAAAATCAAATGGTTACATTGTATCCAAATTTCAATAAAAGAGAAGACTATTGCCATGCAATACATAAGGAGCA